ATGTGTGATTTTATTATGTGGGAGAGGGGGAGGAGGTTCTTGGAACCTCTGACCACTTGTAATGGTAACAAAGTTAGAGACGTGACGTGTATTCTAATTACAGAGAGCGATGCGGACGCCATCTACCCAACACACAAGATGCGATTCCGCTTCAATGTCTCCAACCTGCCCCTCGAGGAGATCCTTCAGTCAGCTGAGCTTCGGTTGACTCACCTGCGGCACCCAGCGGTACCGGAGTCGCAGGAAACTCAACCGATAGACTCCAAATCAAAATCTGGTCGTGTGAGACGCTGGGCAGCATCCGAGGCACCATATTTAAAGCGCATCATGGTTTACGACGTGCTTCGTCGGGCCACTCGCATCTCGGAACCTACTGTCCGACTGCTCGACACCAGTGTTGTGGATGCACGTCAAGACGGGGTTGTGACTCTTGACGTATCCGACGCTGTACGCCGATGGACTACAGTGCCCAACAGCAATCACGGAATCCTTGTGGAGGTGATTCCTATTTCCAAACAATCATCACTAGACGTCTCCCACGTGCGGCTTCGGAGATCCACAGACGATGATGCCTGGTTAAAGGAACAACCTCTTCTTGTTGTTCACGCCAACGACGGCAAGACAACAGAAAGAAGCAAGCGCTCCACCACAAATAAGCATAAAAAGGGGAAACCAGTCTGTAAGAGACACAGGCTGTACGTAGACTTCCGGAAGGTCGGGTGGGATGACTGGATCGTGGCCCCAGCAGGCTACGACGCCTATTTCTGCAAGGGAGACTGTCCTTTCCCACTGCCCGACAAGTTAAACGCCACCAATCACGCCGTGGTGCAGACGTTGGTCAACTCCCGCTATCCTGACCGCGTCCCCAAGGCTTGCTGCGTGCCAACGGAACTCTCGCCGATCTCAATGTTATACATGGACGATGACGAGAGATTCGTGCTCAAGAACCACCAGGACATGGTGGTGGAGGGGTGCGGGTGCCGGTGAGCACCGGCCAGCCGCTCCCCACGTAGCACTGAGGGTCCCGCCCCGCTAGTCCACCCGGTAATGTGATATCAGTTATTTAAATTTTTATATGTACCGGAGTGGCCGAGATGGATGCTGGCATCAAAGTCCCAATAGCACCGTCAGGTCGTTTGGCAGTCAAGATTGCCCCAGCGACAAATAAGTCATGTGAGTGTGTTCAGTGTAGGGATTTGGGGGAGGGGAGGGGGGGGGGGAAGGGGGATGACAGAGCTAGCGGTCACTGAGAATTGCTTCGGCTGGTTGACAGTGAAACTAGTCTGTTACAGTGACTGCAGCATCGACATCTAAAATATATGATAGGGGAGACATTATTCTTGACAAACTGCAGGGTAAAGAGTGCCATACTGTAGTGTAGTGGAGGGAGGCCGGTGCGGAGAGGCCTCACAAGACTTGCGGCTGGCGGACGCTGCCAGCAAGACCACGGACCAAAGATATGTGAGTGATGGTTCCAGGGTACGGGGGCGCTAGGTCGAAAAATCTGAATACGGCATGGAGAAGAGCCCGGGTGCTGAGTGCTGGGGTCATGGAGGCTCCACTCACCAGGACGTGCTACATGGTGACACTGATGGGAGCTTAGTGTGGTAATGAGAGCTCCCCAGTCCTTGGCATGTGACCAAAGACGACCCAACATTCACCCACAGTCTGCCTGGTGGCGGGCGCTCTATCACCCGGCGTTCACTCCATGGAAACAACGTTAGTGGCAGTGTAAATATTATGGTACGGCGGGGGCCCCGGGAGGGGGAGAGAAGGGGCCCCTAGTACAGTGGTGTGAGGCCCCCAGGCGGGAATAAGGGCCCCCCAAAGGCAGCAGAGTCGGGTCCACGTGCCCATGTTCCTAACTCCACATGTATTTATTCCTTGTATTATACTTTACCAACAACAAATTTGTACAGATTTATATATATTTAAAATGTGAATATAGTATGTAAGATATTTTGTACATAATTAAAAGACAGTAAATGAATATTACTGAAATAAAGCTATATAAAGATAAATTATTTTTACAGTCCTCATCAGAGTAGGATTCTCTTTAAGCAACATTCCCGCAATAAGTACACGTGTACACACACACACACACACACACACACACACACACACACACACACACACACACACACACACACACACACACACACACACACACACACACACACACACACACACACACACACACACACACACACACACACACACACACACACACTCTGTTCATAAACTTATTCGCGGACATCAATTTGCACTTCTGTGCAATAATGCACGTGCATAGACTACTGAAGGCAAAGATGCCTTACGCATTCACAAATGCAATGCAAGCACATGACGTCAAATCATACATATATACAGACAGGCAGAAGTTACGAGACCTGCGTAGCCCAACCACTTGGGCTGGACGGTAGAGCGACGAGCGCGCTTCATGCAGGTCGGTGTTCAATCCCCGACCGTCCAACTGGTTGGGCACCATTCCTTAACCCCGTCCCATCCCTAATCTTTATCATGATCCCTTCCAAGTGCTAAACAGTCGTAATGGCTTGGCGCTTTCTCCTCATAGTTCCCTCCCCCTTATACCTGCGTAGCCTGTCCTCTCCACCATATAACACCCCCCTCCCCCCCACCACCAACCATTACCACGTTATTCCTTCCCTGGTTGGTGTTGGACCACCTTAGGCACTCCTCAAGCATCACCATGTTTCTTTGTAAAGAGTAAGTGATCTTTCTTCCATCTAGTCTTCTACTCTCTCTTAAATATATTATCTCTCCACTCTTCTCTCTCTCTCTTCTCCTCTCATCTCTCTTCTTCTCTCATCTCTCTCCTGTCATCTCACCTCTCTCCCCTCTCTTCTCTCTCCTCTCTCTCCCTCTCCTCTCTCGTCTCTCTTTCCTCCTGTCACTCTCTCTTTCTCCTCTCTCTTTCTCTTTCTCCTCTCTCTCTCTCCTCTCTCCTCTTTCTCTCCTCTCGTTTTCTCCCTTCTCGTTCTCTCTCTCCTCTCGCTCTCTCCCTCTCGTTCTCTCTCTCCCTCTCGTTCTCTCTCTCTCTCTCTCTCTCTCTCTCTCTCTCTCTCTCTCTCTCTCTCTCTCTCTCTCTCTCTCTCTCTCTCTCGTTCTTTCTCCTCTCCTTTCTCTCTCCTCTCTCTGTCTGTCTCCTCTCATTCTTTCTCCAGCCTTCTGTCTCTGTCTCCTCTCGTTCTCTATCTCTCCCTCCCTCTCCTCTCGTCCTCGTTCTTCCTCTCCTCTCTTCTTCTCGCTCTCCTCTCTTCTCTCTCTCTCTCCCTCTACTCTCTTCTTTCTCTCTTCTCTCTTCTATCTCCTCTCTCTTCTTCTTATCTTCTCTCTCCTTTTTCCCTCTTCTTCCTTCTCTCTCTCTTCTCTCTCCCTCCCCTCTCTTCTCCCTCTCTCCTTCCTTCTCTCTCTCTCTCTCTTCTTCCTTCTCTCTCTTTCTCTTCTTCCTTTTCTATCTCTCTCCTCTTTCTCTTTCTCCTCCCTTCTCTTCTCTCTCTCCTCTCTTCTCTTCTCTCATGTTGTTCCCTGTCTGAGAATTAGACAGAACGGATGCGGCAGACGCCTCCAGTGCCAAAATAGGGCAAGTGGATTTCCGGGTCAGCGGTTGAAAGGTGTGCGAGCAGCGTCTCCCAGCGAGTACCTGCTTCTCCTGTTATGTCGCCCCCATCAGACAACCTCTCCTCCCACCCCCTGTCTCCCAGCCCACTCCTCCCACCCCCTGTCTCCCAGCCCACTCCTCCCACCCCCTGTCTCCCAGCCCACTCCTCCCACCCCCTGTCTCCCAGCCCACTCCTCCACCCCCTGTCTCCCAGCCCACTCCTCCCACCCCCTGTCTCCCAGCCCACTCCTCCCACCCCCTGTCTCCCAGCCCACTCCTCGCAGCCGACTCCTCACCACTGGTAGTAAGACTCGTGACAGACATTAATGTTGATAATGCTCCGCATGGCCGGCCTCCGTCCCGTCGTCCCAAGGAGTAGCGAAGGTGCGCTCACTCACTGCTTATAATACCTTATTTATCAAATTTCTCTTGTTACTACCCTTCCACCCATGATTACCTACCACCCTGCTTACCCACCACTCCTATCTACCCTCCCCACCGTCTACTAACCCCTGCCTACTATCCCCCCCCCACCTACCCTTCCATTCCGACCCTCCATCTACTTTCTCCCCCTCTACCCTTCCATTCCCACCCTCCATCTACTATCCCCTCACCTATCCTTCCCAGCCGACCCTCCATCTACTATCCCCAATCCCACTATTTCTCGCCTACCCTTCATCCGCCTTCCCTCAACCCACTTACTATCCCCCCCCCCCCCGCCAACTATCCCCTCTACAATAAAACTAATCCATTTTTCTATTTTTGCAATCCTAGATGACAATCTTTTCTATAATATGGCAACCTTTTTATGATATGGCATCCTACTGTCTATTCCCCTCTCTTTCTTTCATCTCCAATTCCACCCTTTTCCCATCTCCCCGCTTCACCTTCACCCTCTTCCCCAATATGCCCCCTGTCCGACTCTCACCCTTTTCCCTCCTCTCCACATTCTCTATCGATCTTCCCTTCCTCTCTCTCTCTTGTACTTTGTATCTCATGATATTTAATATTTCAAAGGACTGAAAAAAACGGGTAACTATCCCGAAAATATACATACCCGATTTCAGACTTGACTACAAGAAAATCGCAGTCTTAATAGATGCCGTTATAGTGGCACTGGGGTTCACCTCGACTGGCCTAGGACGCTCCCATACCCCACATGTGTAATCTTGGAAAGTTAGGTAAAACTAGCCCCAAGGGTCTGGTCTCCAACCTCGGACAGACAGACATTCTTTTATAGAGATAAATTACTCCCTTTCCTGTATTAGCTTCGGACCCTCTGTTATGTTTCTACCATTTCTGTAACATAACTACTTCTTACCTTTTGCATCCGCCTGTACATTTTTTAGCTGTGTACGATGTGTACGGGGACTCAATAGATGTGTACGCAGAGATGCACACGTTGTGTATTACTGTGTATATGCACTCATTTACTTTAGTCCTGAAACTGCATTTGAACTTAAGTGTACTACATGCAGTTTGTTAGTAAGTTCTTGTGGTGGCCTTAATAACAGCCTAGATGTTAAAAGGCCTTAAGCCCAACCACTGTACCGTTGCTGGTGATGCAGAAGCGTTCGTGTTAGCGCGCACATACCAGACATACTTCAGACATAACACATCTTTATTAAATTAAGCTTTTATTTATTTCATCACTAGATCCATTGCTGACTTTTAAACACTCACTCTCTGATAAATTTTAAACACTTCATCCAATGCAATGGATGAAGTATTAAATAATAAACCGGATGATTGGGCCTGATGACCTCCCAGTGATGCTGGCCGCTAATCCCAACAGCTCGACTGTTTCTAACCCTCTGAGGCATTTCCAGCCGTTCAATAATGCACAGGTTCCTACAACATCTGCCTACTTTGTGGGCAGCACGTAGATGCGCTACCGCCATCTACGGAACTCTCGCTACGTTGTCCTGCTAGTTTTCTATTCCAGTGCTGACGTGCAGTCATCCCGAGTCTGCCGGTAATCTGCTTCCTCCTGCCACCACAGCTCTTCCCAACAGTTTGTGAACGTCATGTCCACTCCTGAGTCTACCATTCCCTCACCGCTCTTATATCCAAGTCATTAGATAATAATTCAGACGCCACAGCCTGCTGCCAAGCCCTCACAGCTGCCAACGTACAGGTTCTCCCAGTGTACAACACCCCAGCATCCAGAGAGACGCTCTCTACCTTATTGCCTGCCTTACTGTGTAACTGTTTACCCTCTTACCTTCGTGGTTTGCTTGCATTCTTTTTTGCTTGCATTTTTGCCACATGTTTACTTGATTGCCTACATGTTTGCATTCCAACCTGTCTACCTACCTGTCTACCTTCGTGCCTGCCTTCCTGACTACCTGTCTGTGTATTTCCTACCTTCCTTGGTGCCTTCTTGCTTGCATACCTGCGTGCCTGCTTATCTGCATACCTGCTTACCCGCCTGTTTGCCTACCTGCATATCAGGGCACCTACTTGCTTGCTTGCCTGCCTACCTCCCATCCTGCCTGCATGTCTACCTGCCTGGCTACCTGGCTACCTTCCTGCACATCTGTTTGCTTATCTTCCCGCCTGTCCGCTAGCCTGCCTGCCAGCCCGCCTGCCAGCCCGCCTGCCAGCCCGCCTGCCAGCCCGCCTGCCAGCCGCCGCCTGCCAGCCCGCCTGCCAGCCCGCCCGCCTGCCCGCCCGCCACCCGCCCCACTCGTCCGCCCTCGTCCGCCCCCCCCCGCCCCCCCCCCCGCCCGCCCGAACCTGCCCGCCCGCCCGCCCGCCTGCCTGCCTGCCTGCCTGCCCGCCTGCCCGCCCGCCCGCCTGCCTGCCCATCCACCTACCTGTGTACCTGACTGATTGCCTGCCTGCCTACCTGGACGCCAGCCTACCTTGCTGCCACCAGCCAGGTGGGGTGGGCGCGCATCAACACTCTGGTCCCGTGTGCATATATTAGGGCCGGGCTGTGGCAGCCCTGACAAAGAACCCCACCTGTACACCCATGTTGCTCTTCCTGCCTCCTCCTCCTCCTCCTCCTCCTCTGTTCCGTTCTTCGTGTCTTACCTGCTCTCACTCCTTCCTCTTCCTTAACCTGTTCACCCTCTCTTACCCTCCATCCCTTATGTTCCCTTCGCCTTTATTTTTTACCTCTGCCTTTGTATTCATATTTTGTTTTTGACTTTTAATACATTTTCTGAGAGGCGGGGGAGGAGAAAGAGGGGGTGGCGGGACTGGAAGAGGAGGGAAAGAAAGGAAGATGGGAAGAGACCCGGGAGCAGCCGGATACTCATTGTATACAGACATACATACATATAAAACACATACATACATATTTATATGGGTACATACATGCATACATATTTACATACGTATAACCATACCTACATACATAACTTCATACATACGTACACACACATACATAAA